TTATTTATATACTATATATTTATATATTTATGTGGCATATATTTATAGTGTATCTATAGACTTATTTATATTTCTATTATATTTATTTATATTTATTTATATACAATATAATTATTTATATATTATATATTTATATATTTATGTGGCATATATTTATAGTGTACCTATAGACTTATTTCTATATTATATGTATTTATATTTATTTATATACTGTATATTTATATATTTATGTGGCATATATTTATAGCATATCTATAGACTCATTTATATTTATATTATATGTATTTATATTTATAATGATAATTAATATTTATTAAATACATTATATTATATTTATATACAATATATTTATTTATATACTACATATTTGTATATTTATGTGGCATATATTTATAGTGTATCTATAGACTTTATATTTATATGTATTTATATTTATTTATTTACAATATATTTATTTATATACTACATATTTATAGTGTATCTATATACCTATTTATATTTATATTTATATTTTATGTATTTCTATTATATATATTTATATTATGGTGGGCAAAGGCCTCCCAGGCCTGGTGTCTTTGTGGGAGAACCAGGATCCACTACCAAATATTGGGGGAGGAACCACCTCTTGCTTGAGGGATTTTTGGATCCACTCCCAAATTTTGGGGAAAATCACCTCTTGGCTGAGGAATTTCTGGATCCATCACCAAATTCTGGGAGAGGAGTCACCACCTTGATGGTTTGGGGTTGGGTTTTTCTAAAGACCTTTGAACTCTGCGCTCGTCTCCACTTTTGTTCCATGTTTTCTGGTTGGATGTCAGGCTGGGTTTATATTCCCCTCGGTTTTTTTCTCACTGGGAAGTCGTTTGGAGAAGCTCCAACTGGTTTTTCTTACTGGGAAGTAATTTTGAGAAGCTCCAAGTGAGCGAGGGGGGGGTTGAACACTCGGAGCATCCCATTTCCTGCTTTATTCCTTTTTCCATGGCAGAACGACCACAGGGATCCAGAACATCACCTGAGAGCTGGGATTTTTAAGCTGGGGCTTAAATGAAAACCCTTGACTTAAAGCAACAAAAATTTGCCACTTACACCATGGAAGTGGCCAGCACACACCTCATCTCCAAGAAATCCCACCCCAAATCATCCCTGATCCCAGCCCAGCTCATCCCAACTTCACTTTTTTTTTTCCTGCAACCACTGTTTTCCTTCTGATTTATTTTCCTTTGTGCTCTTGGAATAGTCAGATTTTCCAAGCAACCTTTTTCTTTTTTTCCCTTTCGGTCATTAAACTACATTTTGCCCTTTTTTTTTTTTTCTTTAATATTTATTTATTCATTTTTGGATGGGCTGGCAGCGGGATTTGGGCTTTCCTTCGGGTTCCTTCTCCCGGAGATTTATGACTCTCCAAAGATTCTTCCTAAAATATTTACAAAGAGGAGCTTGGAGCGGGAATGTTTGACTCGGCCGAGGCTGTCAGGACTCTGGGTGGCACGAGGGGGGAATATAAACAGACCTTTTTTTCCATTCCCAAAAAACCACGATAAACTTTTCCTTCTTTTTGTCTCTTCCCCCTCTCTGTTGTTCCCTGTTATCCTGTGCCAAGCCCCGCAGGGCCTTGGCTTTGCCTGAAATGGGTTTTTTTTTCCAAGAAATCCAGGAATTTACACCCATTCTCACTTGGGCACGGGATAGTTTGAACCTATTTTTGAGTGAGTAATAAAATAAATCATATTTTTCTGGCTGGGGATGGTGTGTTGAAGGACGGGATTCGAGCATTTCCCTGCGCCTTAAATGCCAAAATATGTGTTAAATGGGGGTGATGGGTCTTAAAAGGGGTAACAGGGTGTTAATTGGGGGTAATTGCTGTTAATTAGGGGTAATTGGTGTGTTAAGTGGGGGGTAGCACGTGTTAAATGGGGACGATGCACTTTTAATCCTATTAATTTATGGAACGGGGTCAAACGATGCTGAAATGGGGCTCAAACAACAGGTTGGCTCTGGCTCCTCTCCCAGGGAAATCTCCTGGGAAGCAGGAACAGGGAGAAGGGGCTGGGGTGGGACAGGGGGGGTGGGATTGGGGATGTGAGACTGGAAACTGCAACATTTAACCCCCCAAAAATACTGAGCCCCAGCATCGACTCGAGGGGCAGAACGGCGAGAGGCCGGTGGGGCCTGGGAGGTGTTTTCCTTGTAAAATAGAAAAAAATAAAATAAAATAAAATAAAATAAAATAAAATAAAATAAAATAAAATAAAATGTGGTTTTGACCGTGGAGCTGCTGCCCCAGGAGCAAGTGGAACTGTTCTTCTGGCTGATCTTATAAAAGTCTTTTTTTTCCTATTTTTCTTTTTTTTTCCATTTTCTTTTTTTCTTCTCTTTCTCCTATTTTCTTTTTCTTCCTTTTCCTTTTCCTTTTTCTATCTCTTATTTCTCTTTTTCTTTTTCTTTCTTCCCTTTCCCTTTCCCTTTCTCTTTCCCTTTCCTTTTCCTTTTCCTTTCCCCTTTCCCTTTCCCTTTCCTTTTCCCTTCCCCTTTCCCTTTCCCTTTCCCTTTCCCTTCCACGTGATTTTCCCAGAATTCTCTCACCTTTGACCCAACCCAACTGGAAGCTCCTTTCCCTCAAGCGGGCAAAGCTGATTATTCCCGGCGCGATCCTCCAAAATTCCCCAAATTCCCCTTTTCCTTGCCCATCCCCATCCCCGGGGAGGGGGGCGGGGCCAAACATCCCTCAACCCCCACGAACGACAATTCCCGGCGAGAAATCCACAGAATCCTCCTTTTATTTCCACTTGGAACAGCTCACACCCGAGTTCGGCTTTGTTTAACAAAAATAATATCAAACAGCTTTTTTTTATTATTATTATTATTTATTATTTCCCCACCCTCCCCCCCAAAAAAATTCAGAATAAATGGTACAAACAAAAGTCCCCTGCCCTCGGCCCCGCGGGGTCAATAAATAACGTACAAAAGGGCGCGGGAGGGGCCCAAATAAATAACATAAGTTACTTCCAATAAATAGAGTATCCAAAATACAGATGCATTGCATCCACTTCTGCAGCCGGGCCCCGGGGCCCGACAATTCCGGCAGGGAAATGGGATAATCCGGGCTGGGCCGAGGGAGTTCTGCCCCCAGGACAGGAACAAGGCTCCTGTTTGTCTTTCTCCCCTTTCTACCTTTTTTTTTCCTTCTTTTTTTTCCCCTTTTCCCTCGTTTTCCTCCTTTTTTCTTTTTTCCCTTTTATCTTTTTTTTTCCTGCAATTTCCCCTTTTTTCTTCTTCCCCTCTTTTCCCTTCTTTCCTTTTTTCTCTTCACCTTTTTTCCTTTCCTCCCGTTTTCCTTTCCCCCTTTTCCCTTTCCCCCTTTTCCTTTCCCCCTTTTCTTTCTCCCCTTTTTTATCTTTTCCCTTTTTTCTTTTTTCCCTTTCATCCTTTTTCCCTTTTTTGCATCTCCCCCCTTCTTCCTTCTTCCTCCCTTTTCCCTTCTTTTCATTTCCTTTTTTCTCTTAACCCTTTCTTCCTTTCCCCCGTCTTCCTTTCCTCCTTTCTTCCTTCCCCCCTTTTTCCATTTTCCCTTTTTCTTAACACTTTTTTATTTTCCTCTTTTTCCTCTTACCCCTTTTTTCTTCCCCCCTCTTTTTCCCTTTTTTCTCTCTTCCCCCTTTTCCCTTTCCCGCCATTTTTCCCTTTCATTTTTTGCATTTCCCCTTTTTTCCTTTTTTTTATTCTTTATCTTTTTTCCTATTTTTCTTCCCCCTTTTTCTTCTTTTCATTCCACTTCCTTTTTTCCCTTTTCCCTCTTTTCCCCCTCTTTCCTTTTTCCCTTTTCCCCTTCACCCCATTTTTCTTTCCCCCTTTCCTTCCTTTCATTTCCTATTTTCCCTCTTCCTTTTCCCTTTTCACCCTTTTTTCTTCCCCCCTTTCCTTCTTTTCATCTTATTTCCCTTTTCCCTTTCCTCTTCCCCTCTTTTTGTCCTTCTTTTCCTTTTATTTCCCTTTCCCCCCCTTTTCCCTTTTCTCCCCCCTCCCCTCCGAGCCCAGGAGGGAAACACGTGGCAGCCCCATTCCCTCTTTCCAACCCCATTCCCTCTTTCCAACCCCATTCCCTCTTTCCAACGGGAAGAAAACCATGGCTTTAAACACCACCAAAACACAATTCTCCTGGATTAACTGGGAAAACAACTTCTCCCCAGCAGGATCCTGGAGCTGGGAGAACCCCACACTCATCCTGGGCTCTGTCACATGATTTTAAACATCTCCTCCTGTTTCCCCCCCTTTCCCAACCCCTCCTCTCCCGGGCTGGGAACGGCAAAGCTGCAGCTCCAGAGAGGCAAAAGCCAACCCCCAAATCCTCCCTGACAGATGTTGCACAGGGGTTGTTATTATTATTATTATTAATATTAATATGAATGTGAATTAACACGTGGGAGGAGGAGGAAGGAGCCGGATGAGATCCTGCTGCAGCTTCGAGGAGGGAATTTTCCATCTTTTTTTTTTTTCCCCCCCTTTCTGCGTTGTAGGCATTCTTCTGGACAGCTCCAGCTCCTATTACAGCAGAGAGGGCTGGAGAAATGGAAAGCATTAGGGAAAAACCTATTGGAACCACATTTCCAGGGCCGAGCAGTGACGTGGGATGGCACCGGCAGAGCCGGAGGAGCCCCGAGGAAGACACGGAAGCAGAATTCATCCTTTCGGCCACACCACGGTGCCCCAGCTCACCCCAAGACCCCATCAGGGATTTTTTTTTGTGGTTCCAAGTCCCAGCAGCTCCCCCCCCAAAAAAAGCATAAGGAGCAGCGTGTGGCAGAGGGGGGGATGTCCCCTCTGGTGCCAGCAGGGTGAAATCCAGCAAAAAAAGATGGATTGGAGCTATTCCTGTTGGTTTAACACACCGTTGCATTGAGTCAGCTTTTCTTCCCAAGTTTTGGGGGTTCCAAGCTGGGTTTGTACTGGGAATGGGGCACCTGGGGGGGGGGTTGACAGCTGGGAGATGTCCCACCCTGAGCCTTCTCCACCTGCTCCCGTGTCCCCTCATCTTCCTGCTGCTCCCACCACCATCCCGGCGAGAGGAGGGGCCCTTGGCTGGGTGCCTGCCAAGCAAGGCTCCCTAAATCCCTAAATTCTTCCCCAAAATGTCCCAAACCAGGGTGCAAACACTCCAGCACTCCCTTGGGCACAGGGTCCTGCGAGCAGAGGCAGCTCCTGCTCCAAATCCTCCTCCGAGGTGCCGGGTCCTGCACTGCTTCCACAACACCTTCCCTGCCTTTATCGCTCCGGTTCCCTTTTTTTTTGGTTGGTTTTTTTTTTACTGGAGGCTTCTGCAACAAAACTAATTTTAGTTTTATGGCAGCGAGACCTGGAAAGCGCCCAAGCCCTTGAGAGGCCCGTTATTATTATTATTATTATTGTTATTATTAGATTTGGGCCCTTTTTTTCCTCAAAGTCCGGACTGAGCCGCTGATCCGCCGCGAGCCTGGAGCTACTCCCGTTGCCCCTCTGCCATTCCCATCCTCCAGCTGATTACTTTGTGCCACCTTTTCCATTTCCAGCCAAACCCAGGGGTGCCAACACACCTCGGTTGGGGATCTCCCTGCCCCTGCAGGGTGGGGTTTATCCGCTTTTCAGCCACATTCCCATTCCCGGGATGCAGCTTCACCCCTGGGGGGGGTTCACCCCTCCCACACCCCCTCGGCTGCCTCCCCCTTTTCCCAAAGTGCAGGGAAAACTCGGTGTTACAGAGTGCAGGCTGCCAGCCCCGCTGAAGGATGGTGTTTATATTCCTTCACTGCATCCTGGCTCCGCTCAGCCAAGAGCCACGTTGGGATGAAAAGCAAGGAGGGGAAAAAAAAGACCCACCAGCCTGGCCCGTTGGGGAGGTCGGGAATGCGGCCGCTCGCACGCAGGAGATGCTGCCTCCCATCCCATCCCATCCCATCCCATCCCATCCCAGGGGATGCCAACCTGCTCCCCTAAATCCTACCCCTTTCTGGAGGTCGGGAATGTGGCCAGTCACACACAGGTCTCCCATCCCATCCCATCTCATCCCACCCTCGGGATGCTTCCCCTGCTGCCCCAAATCCTGCAGCACAATCCCTGGGCTGCCGGGATCACTGATAACAAAGCCCTCCTCCACCTGGGGATGAAGGTACATGGAATTTTTCCCCCTGTTTCTCCGGAGCTGGGATGACTCCGTGACTCTGGGCGGGGGGAGGCTGCACACGGAGCGTTTTCCCTGGCGTTGGTTAATGCCCAGGACATGACACCAATATTCTCCTTCTGTTTATGATTTGCTTTTTCTGGGAAGGGAGCCAAGGGGAGAAAAAAAACCCATCAATCCCAGGCAACAAATCGAGCCTGCCTGGGGAACGGGAAAGTCTGCGGGCTCGTTTATCTCCCCGCAGAGTAAACAGCAGTGACACTGCTGTAAATGCGAAGGGAGCCAAAGCCAGGCCCCAGTCCCCTCTCCCTCACCATTCCCGGGTGCTGGGGGGATGCTCCCAGGAGAGCTGAGAGTGGATTTTTTGGGAGACGCCAAACCAGGAACGCTCCTGCCCACGCCGGGAAGTGCCACCGCTCTGCTGGTGGCCTGGTGAGGTTGTGTCACCTGCCTGGGCTCCGGCCCAGCTGCCCGTGGCGGGGGCACGGGAGGTTAATCCAGTTATTCAGATTATCCCGAGTTTTAAAGAAGCAAAGCCCCCGGGGCTGCGGGAATGAGACGATGGCAAAAGGGGCACGAGCGGGCGCGGGGAGCGGAGCCAGAGCCTCTCACAAACCACTGCCGGGGCTTTTGTGCCCCCAAACAGGGGGATTCGGGGGCTGAATTGCCCCTGGCAGAGAAGGGAGGTCACAAAACTCTGGGAACCCCCCCCGGATGAAAAGTGCAGGGCTCAGCCCCTGAGCTGGGGTGGCACAGGGCACCTGCAGCTGTGTGACACACCTGGAATGAGCCCCAAAACACTCTGTGTGTGTGCTGCACACCCCAAAACACTCACTGTGTGTGGTGCACCCCCTAAAACACACCCTGTGTGTGTGCTGCACACCCCAAAACACTCAGTGTGTGTGCTGCATCCCCTAAAACACACACTGTGTGTTCAGCACACCCCAAAACACACAGCGTGTGCTGGACACCTTAAAACACTCACTGTGTGTGCTGCACCCCCTAAAACACACACTGTGTGTTCAGCACACCCCAAAACACACTTTGTGTGTGCTGGACACCTCAAAACACACAGTGTGTGTGCTGCACACCCCAAAACACTCTGTGTGTGTGCAGCACACCCCGTCCAGCCCCACACACCACCGGCACCACTCCACGTGCATCAACAACCCCCACACCACCCCCTGCTCACCGTCCTGGCACCAGCGTGTGCCACGCACCCGACACAGAACCCCTGGCACGTGGGGACCACCCCATGCAGGGGACACCCACCTTTTGACCCCACCCGCCGGGCAGGTGACACGACCGCCAGGTGTGGCACGGGTGACACGTAACCCCGAGCATAGGACGTGTCCTGCGTTTGCCACACGCCCGCTGTCACCTCTGGCAAGGGGGTAACAGGGACCCCTGGGCCACCCCTGGAGGGGCTCACAAGGACCCCTGGGGGGGACAACAGCCCCAGGCAGCCATCACCGCTCTGACCACCTCCGCCGTGTCTCTAAGTCCTCGGGATGCGCCAGCGGCTCAGTCCCTTCTCCTCCTCCTCCTCCTCCTCCAGCCGCTCCGGGCTCCATCCCGCTCTCCCCGCCGTCGGCCCGGCGAGGTCCGGGCACCAGGGCGTCACCTCCTCCCTCCCTCTCTCCTCCCTGGCGCGTCACACGCAGCCGCACGCCTTGGCCGAGAGCTCGTTGACGGTGTAGTAGCGGTTGTAGGCGTCCAGGAAGGACACGTCGTCGTCGTAGGCCAGCGGGCGACAGCAGGGCCGCGCCCTCACCTTCTCCCGGCGGATCCGGCGGCGGCTCCTCATGCTCTTCAGCGACAGGTCGTAGCTGCGCACGGCGGCCTCGCAGGTGCCGCTGCAGTAGCGGAAAAGCACCGTCTCGTCCGACTCGTAGCCCAGGCCCAGCTCGCTGACGCTCACCTCCAGCTCCCGCAGCTCGCAGGGTTTGTGGCGGGCGCGGGCGCGCTTGCGGCGGGCGCCGGCCCGCGGGAAGAGCGGCAGCTCGTGGCCCCCCGAGTTCATGGCCTGGCTGTAGCGCTCCACCAGCGCCGAGACGAGCTGGCGGATCTCGCCCTCGGTGTAGCTCTCCAGCAGGCTGGTGTCTGCAAGGGAAGGGAGAGGGGTTAGAGGCAGGGGGGGAAGCCTTGGAGGGGTTGGTGTTGGATGGGGGTTTCCTGGGGGGGGAGGATGACCCGACCCCCCTCATGGATGGAGGTGACTTGGGGTGGGTGGATGTCCCGCAGGATGGAGGTGACCTGAGATGGGAGGATCCCCTATGGATGAGGATCCATCCCTGGATGGAGGTGCTTTGGGGTGGGTGGATGGATGGATATATGGATGTCCCCCAGGATGAGGATTTCCTGGGGTGGGAGGATGACCCCCCCTCATGGATGGAGGTGCCTTGGGGTGAGGGGATGTCCCACAGGATGGAGGTGACCTGAGGTGGGAGGATCCTCTACGGATGAGAATCTCAGGATCCTCCAGGGTGGAGGTCCTCTGGGGTGGATGGATGGATGGATGTTCCTCAGGATGGGGATTTCCTGGGGGGGAGGATGACCCAACCCTCCTCATA